AATAAAAATCATACTGTAAACAACATTAAACATGGACACACATCTTATTCTCAATATTTCAGTAATACCACCTGGGCTGTGACAATCTCATTATAGCTACTATATAAAAAATTATTAGTTTTATAGTATTAGCTTTAACATATTGTACTTTAAGTTGTACTCTTTTATATTTTGCTAAATTGACATAAACTTTCCACTAAGTGGCAAGTTGCCAGCTTACGGATGGACATGCATTCTACTCCTGTACATTTTCATTGCAGAGAAATCCTGTAGAAAACCTGCTAGAAAGGTCTCCCATCCTTTCCAGTGACATGTACTTTGGCAGATGAAGCAAGTGAATACTTGGGTAGTCAAGCAAAATTTAACATCTCTCTCTTCTAAAGTTACACTGAAAACATTTTCTAGACCTTTCTAAGTCTTTCTGACAATGCCCTCAGAGCTTATTCTTGTAGCATTTCTTCCTTTATAGTTCCCTGAGCCCTCATCTCTTTTTATCTCTTCCACCTGAAAATCACCTCTGACTTCCCCTTGTCTATCTACCAAGAAAATATTTCCAACATCTCTCTCTCTCTCTCTTCACCTTTCTTTCTTCCTCTCTCCTCTATATGCCTCATTTTGAAACATTTCTTCTTTCAAAAGACACCATATTTATTAACATTACATTTTTCACTCATCCTATCAGTGTTTCATGATTGCATATCAAAGCAAAGAATCCTTTAAGATTCTTAGCTATCCTTTAGGATTGCTTACGGCACTTACTACATTTCTCTTTCATTTGTTGATATTAAAAAAAAAATGTTTCATTATCCCTACTATATTCTGGGGACTTCCAGGTCTAGAGCTTCTATTCTGGGGATGGACAATAATAAAACACTTCTTTTCCAAGTCATCCCAACAAGCGGAACATAGGGACTTAAAGAAGCTGAGTTTCAGCGTACATGGAAATAGCATATTTCATTATGCAAATAGATTTCTTCTGGACTGACCTGCATCATAAAAGACCATCTGCTAATTATACCAGGGGGCAAGTCTACAAAGGCCAAATTACATTCTGTGTGTGGTGTCCTTGATTTGTTTCTGAGAACCAAACAATATTAAGGGTTACAGATGGTTTAATTATTGACAGTCACTCCGTTGCTTTCTCCCTGTGGGTGTCAGGGTGTGAGGCTCTGCTCGCCTCACAGCAATGACTCAGTTACCCTGGCGAAGGCTTCCAGGATCTCCCGAGGCTCAAAGGTGGGGTTCTTTTCTTAGTCTCTGAATATGCTCAATATAATGAGAAGTAAAATGAAACAAACTGGAGGACTCCAGTTTAATTGCTTCCTCCTTGTCCGCTGTTTGACTTTGTCTATGTTGAAGTAACTGCTTCCTGAAGCATATTCCTGGTGAGATTATTTTTCTTGTGTCTTATCCAAAGTTGTTTCATACTTTGTGTGTGTGTGTGTGTGTGTGTGTGTGTGTGTGTCTGTGCGTGTGTGACTTATCCACAGACCTGATTAAAATTCAATTATCAAGGGACAGTGCAACACAATGGGTTGCATCCTGAAGCAACAGCTGTGAGACCTGCATCCTCCTTCCAAATTTGGCCCTTATTGGTGGAATGGCCTTGAACAATCTTTTTGCTCAGTTCCCGTATGTCAAAAATAGGGTAAACACTATATATTTCACAGGAATATTATAACTAACGGTGCACATGAAAATCTTCATGAAAACTAAGAAACCATATGTGAAGGAAAAATGCAATTACTGTATCTTTTAGCCCTTATTTATTTAAAGCATCTATGTGCCAGTCCTCTTACAGCTATTTCTGAGTCTATTTTTTAGCACATTAAAACTTTGAATGTTAACAACAACTCTTTAAATAGGTACTGTTATCCTCACTTTACAGATAAAGAAACTGAGGCACACAGAGGTTAAGTACCTTGCTGAAGGTCACACATGCAGAGTGGTTTGACTATGGAACCTAGGCTTTTGATCATGACATTGTACTCCTTTGTGCAGAGTATCTTGGGCATAAGAGGCCCCCCAAAAGGAGAGATAGGTAGTTAATTAAGCATACTAAATTATATATAGTAAAAGATAATCATTTAAAAGTTTTTAATACAGTCCTTTGTCATATCCAGCATCCTTAGCCTATTAAAATAAGCCCGCCAACTTTCTAATTAACAGAGCCTAGACTGTAATTCTTATCTCATGTTTACTCTCAAAGTGACTGTTCAATGGCAGCATCTATGAGCTTTTGGTGGATGCTTTTGTAGGTGCCTTCAAAGTAGTCATTCTTGTAGGACAAACCAAAATTTCATGCAATATTCATGAATACTGATAATTTTTTAAATCTATTTATGTGGAGTATTACGTTTATAGACTTGCATATGTTGAACCAGCCTTGCATCCCCGATCTATATGATTAGAAAGTTATTTTATTTGGTATCTAAGAGTTAATCCATGTCTAATAAAATCTTTTTTTAAGTTACCAAATTTATTTGAAAACTTTTCCCATTCAGGCAAGAGCTTTCATCTCATTTCAATTTAAACACTGGAATTTATTTTCACCACCCCCTCCAAGAAAGTCTATTAGTTATTTTTTCTTCCATATTTTTGGTTGTGTTTGGTACATGTGGATATATATAAAATGGACCTATTGATTTCTAGGCAAATATCATTAATTATAGCCACTTAAGACTAGGGTGTCCTCACCTCTGCTCGGTTTTCACTGTTGGTGACCCACGCAACCTGTGATTTGACCTGGTCTATTTTAACCTTCTCAAGAACCTATTTCCAATGCCCTAAGTTGGAATTTTTTCTCTTGTTTTATTCCATAGACTAGATCTGAAGTATTGAACTTGTCAATTCAGGATTTTGCATTTTCATATCAATCAGTATATAAAATTGAAGGGCAGCTTACAGGACACAAAGTATATAGGTTCATTTTAGGACATTTGGATTTAGGAGCACCTGGTAGCATTAGACAGGGGAATGAGTAAAGAATTGGCTGGGTATAATCTCCAACTTTCTCTCTCCCCACAATTATACATGTTGAGATGAATAATTGATGTTTTCCTACATCATATGAAAAGTGTTACACAAAAGTAGCTTTGAGAGTTGACAAAAATAAGCTATGTGGAAAGGACTCCCTATTCAGTTGATGATGCTAGGATAGCTGGCTAGCCATTGCAGAAGAATGAAATAGGACCCCTACCTTTCACCATATAAAAAAATTAATTCAAGATGGAATAAAGGCTTAAATGTAAAATGTCAAGCTACAAGAATCCTAGAAAAAAATGTAGGAAGCACCATTCTGGACATCAACCTTGAGAAAGAATGTATGACTAAGTCCTCAAAAGCAATTGCAACAAAAACAAAAATTGACAAGCAGGGCCTATTTAAACTAAGGTGGTTTTGCATAACAAAATAAATATATCAACATAGTAAACAGGCAGCCTACAGAATAGGAGAAAATATTTGCAAACTCTGCATCTGATAAAAGTCTAATACTCAGAATCTATAAGGAATTTATAAAACTCAATAAGCAAAAAACAAACAATCTCATTAAAAAGTGGGCAACGGACATGAACAGACACTTCACAAAAGTTACCAACAAATGTATGAAAAAATGTTCAATATCACTGTTCATCAGAGAAATGAAAATTGAAACCACAATGAGATACCATTTCACATGAGTCAGAATGGCTGTTATTAAAACAACAAATTCCAGCAAGGCTATGGAGCAAAGGGAACACTTATACACTGTTAGTTGGAACACAAATTAGTTTGGCTGCTGTGGAAAGCAGTCTGGATATTTCTCAAAGAACTTAGAACAGAACTACCACTTGATCCAGTAATTCCATTATTGGGTATATACCTAAAAGAGAATAAATCATTCTCCCAAAAGACAGCTGCACTCATATGTTCACTGTAGCACTATTCATAACAGCAAAGATATGAAATCAGCCTAGGTGCCCAACAGTGGTGGATTGGATAAAGAAAACATGATACATATGCACCATGGAATACTATGCAGCAATAAAAAAGAACAAAGTCATGTCCTTTGCAGCAAAATGAATGCAGCTGGAGGCCATTATTCTAAACAAATTAATGTAGGACAGAAAACCAAATCCCACATGTTCTCAATTATAAGTGGGAGCTAAACATTCAGTATACACGGATATAAAGATGGCAACCAATAGACATTGGGAACTACTAGAGCAGAGAGGGAGGGAGGAGTCAAGGGTTGAGAAACCATTGGATACTACACTCACTACCTGGGTGAAGTGATCGGTGATACCCCAAACCTCGGCAACATGCAACATGCCCATGTAACAATCCTGCACATGCACCCCTGAATCTATAATAAAAGTTGAAATTATTTTTAATGTATTAGAAATAAAGTATTTTGGTCGGGCACAGTGGCTCCTACCTGTAATCCCAGCACTTTGGGAGGCTGAGGTAGGCAGATAATCTCAGGTCAGGAGTTTGAGGCCAGCCTGGCCAACACAGTGAAACCCTGTCTCTACTAAAAGTACAAAAATTAGCTGGGTATGGTGGTGGGTACCTGTAATCCCAGCTACTCAGGAGGTTGAGGAAGGAGAATCACTTGAAACCAGGAAGTGGAGGACGCAGTGAGCTGAGATTGTGCCACTGCATTCCAGCCTGGACAACAAGAGTGAAACTCCATCTCAAAAAAAAAAAAAGTCTTTTAATAGTAATGTAAAAGATGGTGTTGAACCCTTTTTCTTCAGAAACTGTGGAGCAGCCATGATGTTTAGGAGATCTGAAATCCCAGGCTTCATTGTTCCAGCTCTTTTATGCCTTGGTCCCACAATTTTCCCCTTAACATTACACGTCCAGCGCTGTGGACATTTTGAGACTGTCCTCATTTTTTTTCTTTTTATGAGCATCTCAAGATGGGACTCATTGAATGAGATGAAAGCCTCCTAATTTAACTTTGTCTCAGTTTGGGTAAATTTTTTCTCCCCTACTTTTTCCCCCATGAATTACTTCTTCCAATGATTTTGTTGGTAAAAGTTCTGCACAACGACAGCTGTTTCGCAACTTCAATTCTTGTTTGAATTCGAGAATTCAAACTACATAAAATGTTAACTGCCAGCTTCAGAAAAACAGGAGATGTTTTCAAACAGATATATGAAATTGTTCTGGGTGAAAGATGTTTGCTTTTGCCCAGTGCAGTAAGAATTTATCAAACATTTTACCTTTTGGGCCCCTTTGAAGATTATCCTGAGTCATGACCCTTCCATTTCTATTACAAGCACGTCCTCAAACATGTTATTTTTATAACATTAGGAGCATAATGGCAACTCCTCATGTTGTACTTATTGCAGTTGTATCCCATATATTCCTGTATATCTTTGTATACTATAAAAGCATAGTAAACCTTACATTATATAAAACCCCAATAACTCTGACACTAATGTATTATAACAATCATTTTCTGAAAATAATAAACTTTTTTTCCCTAAGAAAAGAACATTCTGTACATTATCCAGGGTGGGGCATGGGAAATGAATCTTGAGGTTAAGTTATCTCTGGTTCCCGGACATCTATAATTCCTTTCCTGACAAGTTCATTTGTAACATACAATACACATTGATAAGCTATCAGTCACATGGAAATTTGAAGGAAGAAAAAACTGTACCCATTGAATGAAAAATCATTTTCATTCTTTGAAATGAAAAAGATTCTTTTTCATTCTTTTCATACTTTGAACAAGACTTCAAAGTATATTTAAAGTATATTTTGGTTCTGCTCGCTGAATGTTACATTAAGAATAACTGATCCTTGGCAGAACAAGGTATCAAGCCCAGGTTTCCAGCAACTAAAATTAAATAAAATATCATTAAATTTAGCAAACAAATATTTGGAATCAACAAGGTATATATAACAAACTACATAGTTCAAAAAGTAACTTAGCTGTCTTGCTTTCATTATACAGAGGAAATTGCACCAAACTCCATTTCATTCCCCATCCAAGTGCCACTGAACCACTTGCCTAAGTAAGAAGCATGAGCATCACTACTAGCAACTGTGAATCCAGAATACTAATTAGTGCAATAAAATATATCTGCCATTTCCATTTTATCAAAAAATGAACAGCATCTAGTTTATGCTTTATAAATTCATACCCATTTCTCATCAGAATTTTAACTGAAGCAAAATACAGGAAATCGGAAAGATAAAACTACTCTCAAAGTCAAAATATTCATGTTCTTGATCAGAAATAGAAAAAGAACACAAAGTAGATGGGGCTTGGTGGTTCCAGAAATGGAAGCAAGTAGAACCTGCTGGCAGTTTGCGGTCCAGCAAGTGATAAAAACTGAAAGTGCCCTGCTGGAGATGAAACTGAGTAAGAACTCACAACCTGGAATGAGGTGCTTCAGTGGGGCTCACCCTGCTGTGATGGAAGCTCAGAACAGTGGTGCTCACCGTTTATGTGAACCAATGGTCAGAGCTATTATAAAACTGCATCACTAGGGAGACAAGAAGAAGTAGATAATGCCAATTAATGAGGCAAAGACTATATCATCCAATAGCTTGGCATCTGGATTGCACTATTCACAATATGAATGTGAGATAGACGCCCCCTAGCCACACTACGGAACATGACAGGCTTCCAGTCAAGGTGGATCTGGGAACTGGTATTCCAAAATTTATGAAGAATGCTAATTTAGGAACAGCAGCCATGAGATAAATTCAGTCTAGATAAAATATGAAAATATAATAGAGAAAAATGAAAATCAATTTGAAGTATATACGTTAAGGATTTTCAAAGAGATATAAAAAGTACAAGACAACTGGGGAAAAAAAGAAAATATAGCAAAAGAGAACAGAAAAAAATAGTGAAGTAAAAATATAACAAATACTACAGTAAGTGAAATGAAAAACTAAAACAGAAAACCTCTGAATTGGTTCTAGTAATAGAGACCACTAGTGAACATGAGAAAATCCTGAGGGATTCTGCCAGAATATTGCAGAGGGATAAAGAGACTAAATATATTTTTTAAAAGTGGTTAATGGAGATGGAAA